TCAAATACCATAAATCTACATCTTTGTTTGGTCCCTTGGTCTATGGTTCTTTAACTATTTTGCTTCAAATAACTAAATACGGTAACATTGATCTCTGATGGACTGGCATCCCATCCAGGGTGTATCGCCAACATTCCTTGGATAGTCTCCGGATCCAGGATCGTAACCCTGACCAGAATCTCTCCCTTACTGAATGTTTTTAAGTGAGTGAGGAACACCGAAAAATTATTAAAAGACCCCTCAGGCAAAAGATTATACATTAGGGGAACCTTGTTTTTGGTGTTGAAGAGCGCACTTGAAGACTTGTGGTTGAATGTTTTTCCTGGTTTATGACACCTAATTCACCTCACTCATCACCTCATTATCAGTTCAAGTTAAATCAGAGCAAGACTACGTGGCACCTGTGTGTGTGTGTGTGTGTGTGTGTGTGTGTGTGTGTTTTGCTCTAGACCACAGGCTATTTTGGACATCTACAGTATATATTGTGCGTGAGGTCAGGGATAAAGATTGCTCCACAAATGAACAATCACCTGACGTCGCCGCAGACAGAGACAGACAGTTGTTATGCTCTGAGCCGGACCCCAAAGCGGCAGGATGAAATGCGGCCTTTAAAATAATAAGAGTAGCATTCATGTAACTGAGGGAGACAGGTGGCTGGGACGGCTGTCACATGGAGAGACGGATTTCTATTCTACACACACACACACACACACACACACACACGTGACCTAATAAGGCATTATGTTAAATAATAAACGAGGTAAATCTTTCCAAGAAAAGATCATATGCTTTCATAAGCCAGGTTACGCAGAGAGTCTTTTCCTCGAACAGAGCTTTAAACATAACTCCATTACTTATTTTATTTTATTATTTTTCCCCCATGCACGCCGGGGTATCTTTACCTGTGTGCATGACTGAAAGGCTGGAAAAGGCAGGTGCTATTAAAAGGTCAATCCCCAACAATGTTCCCTGCTTTAGCGCTGGACTCCCCAGTCCAAAAATGTCTCACGGTTCCAAGAAGAGTACGCGGCGAACACAGAAGTCATAAAAGCGCCACATAAAAGGAGCGGCGTATTTAACCGAGTACAGATTTTCAGCACAAGGACAAACATCATACTTTCTAGAGACCTACACCAAGGGTTTTGAAAGGTTCAGACGGACGTTAGGAGTGCACACCCGGGCTCGCATTCTCCGTGCGGTTTCGTATTGTTCGTAATGTTCAGCGGTACTGCAGGTGGCGCTATTAAAAAATTCTAGATCTACAGGAGTAGATCGAAAGCTATACTGTCACTATAGTATCCAAGAGAAGAATCACAGATAAAGACAGTGATGGGTTGGCAAGCTGTTACAACTGTTGTTCCCCTTTTTCTTTAACTTTTCTTGTTTCCTTTCCCTTTTTTTTTTTTAACCCTTTTCTTCTCTCATCCTTTCCTATTTTTCCTTTCCTCTCTTGTGATATCTTTTCCACTTCCTTTGTCCCCCTTCCCTTTCTTTTCCCCTTTTGCCATTTCCTTGTCTTCCCTTTTCCATTTTCCTCCTCTTTTCCTTTCCATGTTTCATTTCCTTTCATCTCCCTTTCATTCTTCTCCATGTTTCGATTTCTTCTCCATATCTTTCTCTTTATCATCATTCCTTTCGATGTTTTCCTGTTCTTTTCCGTTTGTCCTTTTCCCCCTCTCCCCTTTCTCTCTTTTTATATTTATTTCCATTATTTTCATTCTCATTAATCCCCCCCCCTCTTCCTTGTCTTTTCCCCCCTTTCACTCATCTCATTTTCTTCTATTTACTCGTTTTCTTGCCTCTTTCAATTTTCTCCTTCTTCATTTCCTTTCTCTTTTTTCCCCCTTAATAAGACTCAGCCATACAGCTTAAAAAAGTTGGGGAAAAAGACAGACAGAGTGAACTCTCTCCTGAATTCCAGTTTGTCACATGCCCTTATTAACTTTCCCACATCATTTTCTTCTGGATGAATCCCTGTTTCCATCTTAAGGGGCGTCCCGTATACTGGAGCTTGTAAAATGAGCCATTGAGAGCTGAGGGATGAAAAATTTACCCTGAAGTGAAATCTGATGCAGTTTCCTTCTCAGAACAACAAAAAATCAGGAGCAATACACCAGTCAGTAAGACAAATGAGCCATATTTATCCTCAAATGTGTGTCATTTTGTCATTCTGAGACAATTTCAGATTAATTAGAAGGTAAGTGGAATATCAGATGAACTGATATTGAACTGTACAAGCAACATACAAATGTGTGGAATTCCGTATTTATACAAATGATTTGTAGCGTTCGCATTATACGAGTGATCGTGGACGAAATTTCCGAAATAGTCTTGGCGAACAAAACAGAGTCGTCAAAACTAAAAATCATTTTATTTCATACCGATGCTCAAATCAGTAGAGAGTTAGTCTGACGAATCATCTTTATCCTATGAGCCTAATGGGTGTGTTCTCTTAAAAGACGACTCCGCCCCCATTCACAGCATGCAAGGGATGGAATGGAATGGAATGCTTTGATGAGGATGAAAATAATCTAAAATCCTTATGCCATGACCTTCACATCTCAACTCAATTGATACATTCCAACATTGCAATCGCTGTGGAATAGAGTCAATCGTAAAAAAGGGGCTGAACGGCGTTCTCGCTAACTTCGGGAGACAACAAGTTTCAATCCCGATGGTGCTGTAGCCATCCGTGGCTGGGAGTCCTAGCAAAATTGGCCATGTTCTTTGGGTGGAAGGGATGGCATTCTCTCTCTCTCTCTCTCTCTCTCTCTCTCTCACCCTCTCTCCCTGTCAATCACAGCAACCCTAGAAAATCATCAGTTTCGCTATTGAGAGAATTAGAAAGGTGGAAAAACAAGTCTAAGCTCTGCAAAAAAAAATTTGTGGCTTTGTGGGACACTTTCAGTTTCAATACTGATGGATTTGCTTCTGGTCTTCCCCTTATGGCTATAGGACCTGAATCTGGTCTCAAGATGTTTTCAGTATTGTCTTGGACTTGTCTCAGACATATAGACAATCGTACTTGGATTTGTCTTGGTCTCGGACATAACGGTGTCATTAAATATGGTCTTGCTCGAGAGCTTGTCTTGTGTTTTGTCATTGGAGCAATGCATGAATGAAGCCAACTAGTTGATGTAAAGTCTTAATCTAAATCTCGCTTTCATTTGTACTCAATCTTGACTTGGCCTCAACCCCTTTAAGACTTTGACTCGGTCTTGGCTATTCCTGGAATTGGACTGGTCTTGGATTCATGGTGGTGGCCTTCACAACAGCCCTATTTCCACTTCCTAAAGCTTCCTTGCCTAATTGGTTCACGAACACCACACTTGTTTCACTTCACTTGAGCTGGTTTCACCTCGCCACGCACAAATCTCTAGGTCCTACGACGATATTCATTGTTTACATTAATAAACATAACATCTTTCTGTCCAAGATTAACTCGGAGATTCGAAATAACAAGGTCCAAGGTCCGATCTACTTTACTCATAAGAACCCTTTCGTTAATCCGTTCTTTAAGTGTAGGGTTCCAGCTCAGTTCTCTGCATTAAGGAAAGTCTCTAAACCCCCTCATATCTCTATAAATAAACACAATGGCAGACACTTTCAGTAACACACACAGGCTATTTTTGAGAGAACGGAGTCTCTCTGGCGTGAGAAGCGCCGGGATTCTGGAGCCTTCAACAGGTGGATGTGTATGTGCGGTGTGCGAAAGAGAGAGAGTGTGTGTGTGTGAACAAAAGAAAAGCAAAAGAGAAAGAGGAACAGAGACTCCTCGATAAGCTATTCAGCAGAATCCGAAAGTCCGTTATCGATTACAGAACTATCCTTTTCGAGACTTCAACAGTGCTGTGGAATACATTAAAAACTTGACTTGATTCTCCGATAATAACGCTCTATTTTTACATCTGGTTCTCTTGAGACACAAAGAGCAGCAGCGGTCCATTAGCTTCCCACAAATCCCTAAGAAACCACGATGACCTACTTGGAAATAAAGCAAAAAGCACAGAACCGCGTTAAACCCTAAAAAGGGCCTTGATATGAGGTTGTGCTCTGTGCCAAAAACCTTGAGGAAAGACGAAAAGTGTCTCACAGAGCCTCCGTGCCCACCAAATCCTGCAGGATTATTAGTCTTTGTCCTGTTTTTTTTAAGCCTGAGGAGGATTTTTTTCGCTGTTCGTCGGAGCAAGAAGGCAAGCTCGGGATACATTTTATTGTCCTAATCGAGAGGGATGAGTGTCTGAAGCTCAGGCACTCTGTAACATAAAAGACTCAGTCTTAGGAAATGCCCATTTGAATCTGCTTGTAGTCACTTGTATAAATATGTGTGTAAAAAAAAAAAAAAAGTTACAGTGCCGAGTCTAAGTAAGGTTCTCTGAGCGTTCACGATACAGTTAATTTAATGGAATGTTTTTTTATATCTGTGTGGGGACCAAGGATAGGAATATCTGAGCATTTGTAGAGACATTTTGAGTTTTAAGTGTTGACGCAGTATTAATTAAGCTTGAACGATGCCAACTGGTTCTCATGAGGATATGAAAACAAATGTGTGTGTGTGTACTAATTTATTTAGAAACAAGAGACGGATACTGGCAAAGAATGCAAATTCCAGCGAGTGTGTTTCTCATGGTACACTCACCTGACCCAAATCCAGCGTGACGTTTATCTCGTTGTACCGGATCCCCCTCGAGAGAGGCGGGCTCTGCCACCAGCGCTCTGTGCCATCGATGGCGTTGCTCACTGGACGGGCTTTCTCAGGGTTATTGGCATTGCAGTGGTCACAGTACTGCCCCTGAAACAATCACATAAAGCCTCAGAGTCACACACTCGAATTTTACAACAAAAACAGGTTCAAGGGTTTCTAACTTCCGCAAAAGGTCTAAGGAGACACTCGGGTTTTATCTCCAATCCTCAAGGGTTTCCACAGAAAGACAAGCAAATAACCCTTAAGGGTTCTGTATAATGTACATAATATAGCTCTGAAATAAATATACAATATTGGCTGTATTGGGTGCACGGTAGCACGTTCGCTTCACACCTCCAGGGTCGGGGGTTCGATTCCCACCAGAGCCGTGTGTGTGGAGTTTGCGTGTACTCCCCGTGCTGCGGGGGTTTCCTCCAGGTACTCCGGTTTCCTCCCCCAGTCCAAAGACATGCATGGTAGGCTGATTGGCGTGTCTAAAGTGTCCGTAGTGTATGAATGGGTGTGTGAGTGTGTGTGTGATTGTGCCCTGTGATGGACTGGAACCCTGTCCAGGGTGTACCCCGCCTTGTGCCCCATGCTCCCTGGGATAGGCTCCACGTTTCCCGTGACCCTGAAGAAACGATAAAGCGGTATAGAAGATGGATGGATGGACTGACTCTAAACACATTCCAAACCCAAAAGCTGTTGGAACAACAATATTTTTGATCATTTAAATAGTTTGACATGTTAGTTTCACACAAAAATAAATAAATCAATAAAATCTTTCACACTTTTACCCACGTTAAGAAACCCGCTTTGTAGCAATCTGCAGCTTGGAAACACCCCCAACCTTATATAGAAAGGTCTGCCTACATGTGTGTATCGGAACATGATTATTTCGTGATTCACTTCATGTGTGGTGGTCTGGGAAAACCCATCAGATGTCACTGTGGCTGAACTTTCTGGTGAATAGCCAAAAAAAAACACCTCAACCCCTTCGACACCTCAACTTTAAGAAACCATAAATCTATTTGTGGAGGCGGGGCAGGGGCGGGGGCAGGGGCGTGGTTGAGCACCAGTTTGTGAATGGAGGGTGGAGCCGGGAGAGTGAGTGGTAACTTCCTACATCTGTGAGGGATTTTGCTAACAAGTGTTCTGTGTTACAGTGAGCAGTGGAAACGATAAAATGGGGGGAGAGAGAGAGAGAGAGAGAGAGAGAGAGAGAGAGAGAGACACACACACACACACAGAACCATGTAGGTGTGAGAGAAAATTGAAGGAAAATAAATAAGAAGTATAAAAGATCCCAATGTGTCACAATGTTATAGAATGTATAAAGATACACTGTAAAACATTGTGACAAAGATGTCTAAAGTGTAAAGTTTAATGTCTAAATGTCTAAGTCTAAAAAAGGTGTGTTCGGCGTGCCCTTCTTTTTTTTTTTTTTTAAATAATCTGCTCACAAATTTAACTCTCCCAAAGAGATTTAATAATAATAAATAAATAAATAAATGAACAATTTATTAAAACCCAGATGAGGACGGGTTCTTTTTTGAGTCTGGTTCCTCTCAAGGTTTCTTCCTCGTGTAGTCTCAGGGAGCTTTTCCTCGCCACCGTTGCCTCTGGCTCACTCAAAGTATAAAGTCAGACGTTTCAAATCTACAACATTGGACTGAAATAAATAAATACATTTCAGGATTAGGAATGAGAAAAGTCTCAGTTCTTCTTTAGCATTTTGAATAGCAAGCAAATTTCAGCCAATGCCCCAGGGAAGAATTCTAAATGCTTTGAACTTTGAAAGAAATGTTACACCTCAGGTTCAGACTGACATATTTTGTATCAGGGTTAAAAAAAAAAAAAACTGCAAAACTGCACTGCAAAAACAATTACGTCTCAGGAACTGAAACGATCTCGAGTAACGGCGAATGCATCGAATATTTCTCAATAAGAAGCAGGAAAAACCATGTATTCGAAATTAAAGCGTGAAAATGTCTCGTTCTACTGACAGATAATTTGGTTTCTCTCTAGAAATAAAACGTGCGAGATCGGCATGCGTGTACGTGTGCGCGCGCGAGTGAGTGAGAGTGTGTGTGTGTGTGTGTGTGTGTGTGTTTCCGCCACCAGTCTTGGCTGACAAAGTGCTAATGTTGCCTTATGTCTGCTTAATGTTTTATATGAACATCCCAAAAAGTCTTGCAAACGTTAGGACCTTTTTTCTCAAATCAGTTTTGAACAACGGTCAACATTTAAACAATAATCTCAGCTAGTATTTAGATTTTAAACATTTTTATTATTATTATTATTATTATCATCATCATCATCGTCCATCCATCCGTCCATTTTCCAGACTGCGTATCCTACACAGGACAATTTGGACATGAAAATCAGCCTACAACACGTGTCTTTAGACTGGGGGAGGAAACCGGAGAACCTAGAGGAAACCCTGAGGCAAGGAAAAGAACTCCACGCCCACAGTGCAGAAACCCCCAACCATGCAGGTGCGAGGCAAACGTGCGAACCACTCAGCCACTCTTCTCCCGGTTGTTGTTGCCCCATCTTTCTCACTACATTTCCACTCAGATCATTTTCCACTTATAACAAATAAAATATCTGTGCGCTACTGATAAAACTATTTGAATTCTTTCACCAAATGCTGTGAAATAGCTAAAAAAAAACATCATCATCTTCATCATCATTTCAACATGGAAAAAGCTCCTATAAATGTCGACCATTTATGTAACACACGTATTAAATCCATCCTGCTTACGTCGTTTTTTTGTTTAATTTTTTTTTTGTTTTTAAGCGTGCCTTTCAATTCCCTTAAAAAACTGTTGAGTTCTACTGAGAAACAAAAGTGCATCAACGTTGACTATACAGTACGTCAAACTCATGCGTAGTCCCTATTGTCAGACATTTCTTATCTTCTTTCTTCTCAAACTCAAAGTTCAGGCAACGTGGACACGCGATTTGTCCAAAGATCGTCCTAAAATAGACATTTTAGCTCACATATTTAACTACTACTGATCTGTTGCCGCTTGATATGATAAGTGCTAAGTGTACTATGCTAACTAGCTGAAAACGCCAGGTATGCCATTTTAAACCAATCATAAAAGCTTACAAGTGAAATATCATCAAGACGTTTTCCACCTTCATGAAATCTCCCACAGGAGAAATGCAGCATAGAGGCATGCGGGTCAAAAAGAAAGAAAGAAAACAAATAAACTAGCTGGACATGAAGAAACAAGTTTAAAAAAAAAGCTATATTTGGTGCACGTACATTACGTCTGTAAATGTTTTGATGATGGAGCAGATCCCCAGTGATCGCCAAGCCGATCGGCTCCAAGCAATCCATGAACCCAGAAACTTCTTCAAGTGAAAGGTTCTTTTTATTGAAGAGGTTATCTCGATATGATACACTCAATGTTACCAAACTACAGAAACCTGATCACGGTGTTTAAAGCTCCGAATGGTTTGGTTTAGGTGTAATTTGCTGAAATCCTGAAGCAGTACGTTCAGCCCATCCTGAGCACCACGTTCAGCTGAAACTGGCCTACTGTTAGTGGTAGAAGGTGGTCTTCTCCAAAAACTAAAGAATAGTGTTAAAAAAGTGTGCACACTTTAATGTTTTCCCTGCTCCAACACAACCACTTCAGCTCTCACTCACTTCACTTGCAATAACCACTTTCGGGTCAGGGTTGGAGCGGATCCAGAACCGAACCCAGGAACGCTGGGCATGAGATAGGAATACACCTCGGATTTGGACCCCGGTTCAACGCAGGTCACCACACACACACATTCACACCTAGCACAATACTTTAGGACCTATGAGACTCTTTAGGACTTATAAAAGCTAATCCACCTACCAGCATGTTCTTGTGAGGTAGAAAGAAACCAGAGAACCCAGAGGAAACATACTAGCCGGGATAATAACTGATATATTATCATCTGGCTGTTAATTAGCTGATTAACTTGAATGACGTGTGTATAGATTGGGGAAAAGACGAAAATCTCCGGAACAGGCGGTTCTCCAGGATCAGGACCTACATTTTATCCTAGATAATACACCTACTGGCATGATTTTTTTTGGGGGGGGGGATAGATGGGAGGAAACCAGAGAATGCAGAGGAAACCCACATGGACACAATAAGAACAAACACAGTGAAACTCTGGACTTGGTGAACCTGGAACCATGGAGCTGTGAATTTATCCATCCATTTTCTATAGCGCTTATCTTTCAGGGTCGGGGGGGAACGTGGAGCCTATCCCAGGGTGCAAAGGGCACAAGGCGGGGTACAATCTGGACAGGATGCCAATCCATCGCGTGGCACACTCACACTCCCATTCATACACTACGTACATGGTGGACACGCCAATCAGCCTACCATGGACTGGTGGAGGAAACCGGAATACCTGGAGGAAACCCTCGAAGCACGGGGCAAACATGCAAACTCACAGGGCAGAATTATTATTATTACTATTGTTATTATTATTATTATTATTATTATTATTACAACAGAGTGTTGAGATTAAATACACAGTTTGCCATGTATACTCAGTGAATACAAAGTTTCAGCACTGAGTGTTCAGCATTGATTACTCGTTACACCTCCCTGTTTTCCCAGAGTCTGGAAAAACGCAGGTAGGCAGGCGCGCGCGCGCGCGCGTGTTTTACCTGGATAGTTTGGCTCGTTAATCCCACCGTCGGCCCTCCGACTAGTTTGCAGTACAGATCCGTCCTCGGGTTGCCGTTTTCCTCCTCGCCACACGTCGCCGTGGCCGAAATGACCGAGCTCTCCGCCAAGTTAAAGTACGGCGGGGTCATGCTGAACCCGCCCGGGACGTCGTTGACCGACGCTCGCGCTCTCACCGCAACAAGCACGCAGATCACGCAGGTTACAAGCAGCTGTGCAAGCAGCTGTGCTCTTCTGCTCCGCGCCATTTTCCCTGTGTTTGGACTGTCGCGGAATGTCAGTCATATCCGAGACATAAAAAGCTGCCCTCTTACCCTCACTCCTGAACTTGCGCGCGAGATATCAGAGTTTGCTGCACTTGCTCGAAGTGGAGTTCCCCCCACCACCGTGCGCGTGCCCAAGCGCGTCCTCTTTACTGTGCGTGTGCGCGCGCGCGCGCGCGTGCGTTTATAACTTGCTATCAAATCAAACCTCTCAGGAGGACTTTGCATAAAAAGTAGACTTAAAACAAGAAACTATATACAGTATCTCACAAAAGTTAGTACACCCCTCACATTTGTGTAAATATTTGATGATATCTTGTCATGTGACAACACTGAAGAAATGACACTTTGCTACAATGTAAAGTAGTGAGTGTACAGCTTGTGTAACAGTGTCAATTTGCTGTCCCCTCAAAATAACTCAACACACAGACATTA